TGTGTGAAGTAAAGATAATTAAGAGTTAAGAAAAATAAAAAGTAATAATGTAATCCCTTTGTTTGTATAAATCTCTCGTTATCATAGATTTAATTATATTTTGTCTAAACTAAATCCATCCATATGCTTTAATTAGTTATTTTAATAATTATAATGGAAATTGAATTATACAACTATGATATATAATCAATATATAACGTGTACACATGAGTATTTAAAGTGTTATTTATATCTTTGTATTGATGTATTCTTCGGGACTTGATCTGAACTCCCAGCGCGTTAGTTATTGGGTTGCTGAGTTCATATAGACATTCATTTGTTCAAATAGGATATATATATATATATTAACTCTATGTGGTTGAGTCTTCCTGTTGTTGATGAATTAGGACTAATATGAATCAGTCTCTACTGGTGTTTTTGTTTATTTTGAGCTTATTGTCATGATTGTATCATTCCGTGTTAAATATTTTCAGTAAAGTGTGATGGTATTTAGCAATGGAATCTAGGATTTGAATAAACGTACCTCTAACTAAATAACAATATTCAGGCACTTAATACAGAATATACATATTCCAGTTGGGGACTGACTAATCACAGTCATTAACATCCATATTGGGAAGATTTGAACCGGTTTTCATCTTTCCGCAAAATTAATAGGAATATTAGTAGTTATTCAAATTGTTTTAATCAATGTCTCTTATGTATGATGAATAAATTCTATAAGAATGCAATTAAAGCCATAAGTTGGACGAAAAATTATTATCCCTTTAATACATTCCTCATCAAATCTATAAAGTAATCTGTTTTGCATTCAAGAATAAAATTAACACTAAACAAATGGTACTTCGTCAACTTTATAATATTTTAATCAGAAACGGGATTTTGTGGATATTATATTATTTTGTTGGAACAGTTGAGTTCATGAGTCCGTTTCGTTCTATTGTAAGACTCCTCAGCAGTGCTCATCCATGACCCCACCTCGCGGGATCCGAACTCAGGACCTGTCAGTCTCGCACCAGGCGCTTAACCAACTAGACTACTGAGCCGGCATCCAACGGTGTTAATGTCTAACTTCAACTAATCCACGAGATTGAGCGACATATCCATCATTGTCTTCAGTGATTTCCTATCATACAACCGACCCGGTTGAACTCCACTGGTCACTGCTTCTCACTAGAACTCCAGTATATACCTCTTGAAGCCAGTCATTAGTGAGCATATGTTAATTAGTATCAGAAGGGGTTTTGTGAAGATTGTAGTAATTTAAACAGTTGTTTTATACTGCTATGAATCTTCTTAACAGTGAGCCTCCATGATTTATTCGAACCCCGCGAGTAGGATCTTGGATGTGCAATACTGATGAGTCCCATAATAGGAAGAAATGGCCGTCCAGTGCTTCCAGGTTTTCCATGGTGGTCTAGCTTCCATTGACTCATGAATTCAACTACTAAATTTACAATCTTTCCTCTAAAATCATTTAGAAGTTCATCTAATGTGAAATTCGGTCTAAAAACAGTATTATATAATCAGTCAATTACAAAAAATTCATTACATAACAACATGGATTCACTAATTTATACGAATATTTGTCAAGATTAGAACGAATAGCTTGACAGAAATCGGGCGCCAAGTAAATAGAAGTTATATATTTCTTTCATGATTTTGATTATTACCTGAAGAAGTCCAGACAATTTAGCTGGACAAAACATTGGAATTATTTAAATCTCAATCGCTGAGATTATTTCAAATATAATTTTCACATATAATAGATTGACTAAGTTTGAAGTTAAGTAATCCAACATCCATATTTTTTCTAGTAGTAATAATATGTAATTAATAAAATGAGTATCATGAAAACTAAACTATTATATTATTAAGAAGAATGACAAATTACATAAGATGATATTCTAAATCAAAGCTGATTAAATATATTGAAAATATTGAGAAATTTTGTAACGAATTCATATCACTAATCAATTAAGTAATATCTATAGACCTAACAAGGAAACATTAAGTGAATGAAATTCTGAATTAATTTAGAATTTTGATAAGGAAAAGAATATTTCTTCATTCAACTTGTGTGTTTTTTTAACATCTTAATATGAATATAATTTACTGTATATACATATTCAAGCTGAATTATTGACTTGTTTCATTATTTACTGTATATATTCTTATAACAAAGGTATTAGTCAATCCTGTTGATTACTATACGACAATATAGGCATTAAATGATATTGTATAAATACTATTATGTATATCTTGGCATATCACATTGATAGCGGTCATGCTGTAGATAAATCGAAATCATTTAGAGTGATCTATCGTATACCTCCATCATTTTTCAACGGAGTTCGTTCCCACCTCCTACATATAGCTGAAGCCATGGGAATTTATACATATAACCCCAATTTATGTGTACAGAAGAAATTCGTAACCCTCCTATCCCTCCCATGGTCAGTTATAACTTAACTAACGATTTTTTTAAAATTATTATTATTTGTTTTATTTTATTTTTATTATCATTAGCCTTATTTTCACATCTAGTATTTGTTTGTAATTTTCCGCCTTTTTCCTTTTGTATTCTTCACTATCTAATTATTTATATACCTCTTATTACGTAATGATTTTAATGTTTTCTGTTGACTATTCCAAGTCTATTTATCCATGTCTGACCTTCTATTTCCAAGGTTTAACTATTGATAAGACTTTTGTCATCGTATTTTATTATTCTTACTACTAACAATACACTTGTCTTCTTACTATCAACTTGTACTTTTACCTATTATATGTGGTGACTTATTCTATTTCATTGTGATTATTGACCCATATATTGCCTTGATTGGTTTAACATTTTCGTATAAATATTCATGTATATTAGAATAAAGCCTGATGACGGTCTAATTGTTTTATTATTTATATAATGTGTATGATACAATCCAGTTTTCAGCTTTATAATTTAAGCTAATTATAATATCGTTCATCGGTACAGTCAATTATAAATCTTGATATATATTTTTTGACAAATAGTCCTTATTTAATCTTTAAAGTACTTCACATTTACTTTGATAGTTTCCTTGATTTCTTATAGATGATTACTATGAACTGATCACAAAAAAAATTGAAGTACCATTCAATGTCAAGAAGTACTATACATTTATTATTTGATCATGAAAAATATATCATTTAAGATATACATGAGGATTTACAAAAAAAGGCCCTTGATTGAGGAATTACACTCAATGTATAACAGCTAGCTTACTTCAATATTTTTTTTAATCTTCACATGTCACAGTTAATTAATTAAACAGTAAGGATTTTTTTCCTTGATGTATATCACTCAAACATTTAGGATGTTAAAATAGGGAAAACAAATATTTGGTATCTTATAGACATGACAGGTTCCTTATTAAATATCATGCAAAAGTTTTCTTTCTAGGTTTTTGATTTATTACTCCTAATAAAGAGGACAATCGACAGACTCGTTCGACGTAAAGACCGGTGTTACACAAGGTTGCTTGCTCTCACCTTTTTTCTTTCTTCTGGTGATCGACTGGATTATGAAGAATGTGATACAGTGGACAGATGGGATGCAGCTGGAGGATTTAGACTTCTCAGATGATTTGGCTCTTCTATCGCACACACAACAACAAATCCAGAAGACGACCAGTGTAGCCGCAGCTTCAGCAGCAGTAGGTCTCAATATACACAAAGGAAAAAGCAAGATTCTCCGATACAACACAGCATGCACCAATCCAGTCACAATTGACGGAGAAGATTTGGAAGATGTAAAAACCCTTACATATCTGAGCAACATCACTGATGAACACGGTGGATCTGATGCAGATGTGATGCGTGAATCGGCAAAGGAAGAGTAGCGTATTTACAACTGAAGAACATCTGGAACTCGAACCAAACGTCCACCAACACCAAGGTCAGAATTTTCAATACGAATGTCAAGACAGTTCTATTGTATGAAGCGGAAACTTGGAGAACTACGAAAGTCATCATCCAGAAGATACAAGTGTTTATTAACAGTTGTCTACGCAAAATATTTCAGATCCGTTGGCCAGACACTATCAACAACAATCTACTGTGGGAGAGAACAAACCACATTTCAGCGGAGGAACGAATTAGGAAGAAGCGATGAAAATGGATAGGACACACATTGAGGAAAGCACCCAACTGCGTCACAAGACAAGCCCTCGCATGGAATCGTCAAGGCTAAAGGAGAAGAGGAAGACCAAAGAACACATTACGTCGAGAACCGGAGACAGATATCAGAAGAATGAACGAAAATTGGATAGAAATGGAAAGAAGGGCCCAGGACAGAATGGGTTGGAGAATACTGGTAGACTTCCTATGCTCCATTAGGAGTAACAGGTGTAAGTAAGTAAGTAACTAACTCCTAATAAAATTCAAAACTTATATAGTCAGCTAGAGTCCACCGATAGAAATTCTATTTGAATATAAATCATACACTTTATATTTCTAACAAAATAATCACTAACTTGTATACAACTTATCAATCGAGTGTCATTTAGAACTCATTTGTATAGTTTTAATGATCGAATCAAGTTTTGCCATGAAACAGTTCAATTTTAACAGACTGTATTATGGTAAAATTGTCGTTATCTTGTGCAATATTCAAATAATTGGCGAGACTATAACTCATGGACGAACCAATCACGTATAAGATAACAGATAACGGATTTTGGCACGAAATTCACTCGTCCATTCGGGTTAATAGAGTTTTGGCATTATCCCTGATGTTAGTTCGTGATGAAAACACTAAATCTAATTCCTAACATTAACTATCAACTGCAAATCATAATTCGAATTCCTCATACAGGTTTATAACCCTCATTTTGTCCTATTTATCAGGTGGACACTCTTTAGGTCAGTCTAGTGTCACTCAAACTGTATTCTCACCAAATTATATCATATTACTAAGTAAAAAAAATATTCAATATACACAATTTTATTTTATTTATTATTAGCCTTATGGTATTAATTATGAACTGACCGCATTTATCGGTAAACGAATTGATGACAATCAACCAGCAAGGTAAGTTATGTTTGACATCTAAAATTCTATTATTATTTTCACCCTAGAAAATAAATTCTCAATATTATATTTTATAACAAAACGTAGATTGAATTCAACTAGTAATGTTTGTTTGAAATTTTCCAGTGATGTTTAGGATTGAAAATGATCAGTTTCTTATTGGTATATGTACTGCCTGTTCGGATTGTTTTTATATTGTCTTAAGTCACAAGCTTTCTAAGCAAAGATGGATGATAGCTAGCAATGGAATGCAGGATGTGCGTTTTGTTCTATTTGGGACTCATCGGCTAGATGTACCTACATCTCAGAGTTGATATTCACTCCACGATTCGAAGCCAGTACCATCCACTTCAAACGTCATCACGTTATCCACGTAGCTATTGTTTTTACTAGTCTACTGACAATACGAAATAATTTTAGCCATCTTCATTTTACTATATATTACTGACAGACTTTCATTACTGTAAACTCATTATTCGCCTAATTACTTCTTTTACTTAAGGTATAATACGGTTGAATATAAATATAACCAGTCAAGATTCAAATGATACTAAGAATGTTTAGTCATGTTTCTTCAAGTCTATCTATATGTAACGAGTGAATTTATGACAAAAAAGAATTGTCTAATATTTTTCTATCGCTAAATATGGAATATACAATAACCAGACTCCTAAACGAACAAAGTTATAAAGTAATTAGCCTTCACTAAAATATACCATTTATTTTATCAGTTAAAATTAAAGATATATAAAATGTCCATAACTTCAGTTTGCATATACTGTGGTGTGTGCTATTGATGTCGATAGGTATAGGTAGTATGTATCACTAGTTGAAAGTGGAATCCTTAGCGGCGCAACATTAAAATGTTGGAAGAGAAGAGAACGAGAACAGAGGTTATTTGGTACGGTAACAAAGGAACAACAAAGTTTGAGACAATTGATGGATATTATGCAAATGAAAGTATTTATTATATAGTGGTCAGATCTTACTAGGGGGTTTTGTGTATTGGTTGTCCCAACTTTTGTGTTCTCGTTCAATATAATATGTCCAAAACAAAATTGCACGGTTATTAATAGTTACTCATGTTTATACGATCACTTACAATGTGATTTATATTGTCAGAGTTTAGATTTTACTGACAATGCACAACAGTATTACTGTTAAGCAAATTAAATTATGTAATCAAATAACTTCAAAATAAGTTTGACAAAATAAAAGTCGAAATATTCTTTGGAAAACTTTAATATTCATTAACTGAAAAGATATAAGAATATTGTGTAGTTCTTCATAGAATAAAATATATTTTCAGATGATGTCATCCCAATGTACAAGGAGATGCGACTAAATGAACAGTGGTCTAGAGGTTAAGCGTTCACTTGAGCGAAACCTATAGGTCCTGGGTTCGGATCACACGAAATGGGGTCGTGGATGCGCACTGTCGAGGAGTTTCACAATAGAACGAAACGGCTGTCCAGTGCTTCCAGGTTTTCCATGGCAGTCTAGCTTCATTTGACTCATGATCCTAACTACTGAAATATGTTTTAATAATGAAAGTGGTTATTTTCCTTTCTCTTTAGTATATATCTCTTAATTCATACGATTACATTAAAAACGATACTTAATGGATAATACTACTGTTAGGATATGTAGTTACATAGAATTTTTGATGAAACGTTTATTGAAAATATCACTGCTAGCCTGGATTCTAATTACCATCTTATAGATGGGTTGTTTGTAAAATTAGTGTCGGTTTAGTTTGTTTCAATTCTTTTTATTGATTTCCACATATTTTCACTACATATAATTTATTGGAAAATAGTATGCACAGTATATAAGAAATTTAGTCTAAATACGATCGAATAATTTTTATTTGTAAAATCTCAGCGAATGAATTTTGATTAAATCCAATGTTTCACCTAGCAATATGATCCAAGCATTTTCAAGGAAATTTAATCAAGCATCAAAATTATGCTTGGATCATATTGCTAGGTGAAACATTGGATTTAATCAAAATTCATTCGCTGAGATTTTACAAATATATACTTCTTTAATAGTATAGACCGGTTCATCATTTATTTATTAAAATCTTGTCTGAATTATTCTATTCAGTTTACAATGTACACTGTAACACACTATTGTATTCAGTGACTTATAGTAAGTCAATCATTTGCAATACTAAAACTATTTTGAATCAAATAATATAAGATGATCTTGTCACCAAATTAAATAAGCACTAAAGATGGATTCAGTCGAATGTACTCGTCGTTGTTAAAGTAAACTACTTAGATGCTCTTACCGAATTATAAAATAATAATCATTCCATTCCTGTTCAGTAATAAATATCTATTACAACCATTCTCAATGGTAATTATTGTAGTTCTTCTCGAATTTATCTATCGTTGATAATTTACCATCTTTTGTTTTTAAAATACTTTCAATCTGTGTTTTCCTCAGTAATATACCTTTATGACCGTTTGCAAATTTGTAATGTTAGATACGTTTCAATGATTGTTTTTATTAATCAGTAAATCAATCTTTATTCACAGACAAATTATTCCGATGAGAGTGTAATGTATGGATGACCTTTGAGCGATGCTAGACTGACTTTGAGAGTGTCCACTTAATAAACAGGATCAAATGAGGGTTATAAATTAGTGTGAGGAATTATGATTAGGAATTAGATTTAGTGTTTTAATCACGAACTAACATCAGGGATAATGCCAAAACTCTATTAACCCAAATGAACGAGTGAATTTCGTGCCAAAATCCGTTATCTGTTATCTTATACGTGATTGGTTCATCCATAAATTATAGTCTCGCCATTATTCCTATTTTTAAAATACTTTTGGAAATCTCATTAATGACTTGTATACGTACACTATTCTTTCTTCTACAATAAAAAACACTATGAATGAACTATTTGTTTTGCAAATGACCTTGAAGAACCACCATTCAGAGAATCCGTTTACTGCCTATGTATTCAGTATCCTTTTGTTAAAAAATTTGAAAGGCTTCACAAAGCAGCTTATTATGATGATATTTGCCTGCCTAATAATAATGAATGTATGATTTTGATTAAAATGATCTGAAACATACCTTGAACCTGCTAAAACATTTAAAAGTAATTGTAACATATATATTCCGTGAAATATTCATAAATTTACAAATTACGGTAGTCAAGCGTGAATTCAAGCTTATGTTATATAATCTAAAACACATGAATCATTCTATCAAATATAGCAGTCTGAAGACGAGGGATTTAATAATTCAATAGCTTTACATCTACTGTGATCAACTGTTTAACTTATCAGAAATAGGCCACTGTTTGTTAATTCAATGAGATTTGTCAACATTCAATATATATGTGTGTTTGTATTTTCTTAAATCTTTGATTTACCCCTTTAAAAAACAATACCTTCAGTGGTTGAGATCATGAGTCAATGAAAACTAGACCACCGTGGGGAACCAGGAAGCACTAAACGGCCGTTTCGTTTTATTGTGAGACTCCTCAGCAGTGCATATTCCTGATCCCGCCATGCGAGATTCGGACCCAGGACCTATCGGTCTCGTGCGCGAACGCTGAACTTTCAGACCACTGAGTCGGCATCCAACGGTGTTTATGTCTAACTTCAACCAATCCACGAAATTGAGCCACCGTCCACCACTGTTCTCAGTGAATTACTATCCCACCATGGACCCGGTTGAATTCCACTTTTACTACTTCTCACTAGAACTCTAGGAAATATCTTTTGAAGTCATTCACCAGTGAGCATATATTGATCAATATCAGAAAGGGTTAATTTAGTTTTATTATCTGTTAAGATTGGATGTAAGAAACAAGCTGTTTATTTTCTAAGCTCTTTTGAACAATACATCGATGCATGATTGAGTTGAATCAAATAATTGTAATATAATATATTTTAAATTTTTTCAATGGTTGTTTTATGACGCAATGATCCATTGAAACTTTGCTTTCGAACTATTTTACAATATCATAGTACCAATTATTTCAAACATTTATGTTAATATATATCAAACTAAGACTACAGATAGATCAAACACAGTTGAACATTATTTCTATGATTAATTAATAATGTCACAGATTGAAATCATGAGTCAATTGAAGCTTAACCACCATGGAAAACCTGGAAGCACTGGATGGCCGTTTCGTCCTAGTATGAATCCTGGGTTCGAATCTCGCGGGATGCGAGATCGTGGATGCGCACTACTCAGGAGTCCCATGATTTCAATCTGTGAAATTTCTAAAATCTCTACAAACCGCTTGTGATAACTAATAATATTTCGATAGACATTTAACTTATTGAATAAAGAATAGTTTTTTTATTTTATTTTCTCTTTACTTTAGTTCAACAGTAACAATTGTTTTAAGAAAATTGACTGCTGGACCAAAAATAACACATCGTCCTTTAGAACCTATTATTGAATCGATTAAAAAATCTATTAATTTACCATGTCACAATGGTGAATTATTTATTCAAGCGTCTATTGAAAAACCGGTAATTTTGATTAACAGTATTTCTTTTCTTGTTATAATCTTATTAAAATATGAATATTTTGCAATATAGACATTTGTAGTGACTGTAGTATTTTCATGAGTTGAATCTATGAGTCAATTTAAGTTAGACTACCACTGAATAGTTTAAAGAGCTGGATAGCCGTTTCGGCCTAGTATGGGATTCTACAACAGTGCACAACCACTATCTCAATGATGGTACTCGAACTCAAAGGTTTAAAGGCTAGGCATTCGCATAGGAGACTAAAAGCTCTTGGTTTGTATTTCACTTTCGGGATCGTAAATGTTCCATACTAAGATGAAACGCTTATCCATTACTTCAAGATTTTCGTTGGTAGTCTAACTTAGATTGACCCGTTAGTTCAACCGATAAAATAATAATATTTATGAATTGAATAAACTGTGCTTACTGTTGCGTAGACAAATGATTGTTTAATATTTATGCGTAATGATATAATCGGGCTTATACACAACGCATACTAAAGACTTCATAAAGATAGTCATTTTAATGATTCATATAAGACAATTATCGACACATTCTCAATGCTCAATGGTTGAATTACATTTTCACTGATAGTATGCTACATATAGCTTGAAATTCAAAATTGTCAAAGACTTGCGATACATGTGATACTATCAAACTATCTAGTTGTATTCTGTTTATTCAACCTCAGTCAGTTAATTAGCCTAATCCTTATCCAATGTTGACTACAAACAACGAATTCAATTGATACTTATTCGAATCTACAAGACGATAAGTTCATCTCAAATCTGGTTGCTGCTTGTCGGATATCTATTACAAAACTAATATGATCTTGTAATCAACTTGAGATGTTTTGAAACAATCTGAAAACTAGGTAGTGTTTTGTAATTTTACATCCGGGCCGCGATCAACCTCCTGTAGGACTGAAATGTAGTCACAATCGATTGATCACTGGGTGGTGATCAATGTCATGTGTGTCAAGTCCTTCTTAGTGCAGATCGGACGCCCGAATAGCTCAGTGGTAACGTCTCTGACTGTGAAGCTGGGTCATACGGGATCGAAACCGTCAGGGTCTACCAGTTCCCTCAAGATTACAGGTACACATTGCTGACGAGTGCCAAGTGGCACGAAACCCGGGTCCACGGTTTCCTGTTGACCACCTTCAACCACCATCTAATCTCAATATATAGTGTACGCAGTGTCGAGTCACCTAGACTGTTGGTCACATTGCAACATGACCGATAGCATTCGATTTGCACGAAGGACTTGACACACATGACATTAATCACCATCTAGTGATCAATCAACTGGCAATAATTTTGTTTGTTTTATCATTCATCAGTTTCATACTTTCAGTTTGTGAGCTAGATTTTCTGTACTTCATTTTTTTAAACTTTGATTAACATTACTATGTCAACTTATTCATATTCATTGGATCTTGCAGTAGTGATAATAATTGAAACAATGTTAACTGATTCAATATCGTTTACTATCATTCTCAATCATAATGCATTCCCTACTACTGATTGGTGTTTATTCGCTCAGGAAAAAAAGCAGGCAAATAACTCTATTAGTTTTAAGTGTCAAAACTGATGATAAACTCCATACTACTAATTTATTCTGAAAAATGTTTGAAACTGCCATATAACTCAACTAGGAATTATACTTTTATATTAGAATACAGCCGAAAATAATATTTTATGAATAAGATCATTATTATTATTATTATTATTAGCTTTATTCAATATTATAATTTTGGTACAATATAGAATTCTCAGCGCAAAGTATTTCAACAAGTTTCCGTTTCTTTCTTCTTGGTCGGTCCTGGCGATAAATATTGAGGAATCGCCAGTTAGATGTTAGCACTTCAGTGAATGAACAACTGAATAATGTACATTCTTTTCGTTGTACATTGCCAGCAACCATATTGTCTCTTATTGAGTTTTCTGTAACTTTGACAACGAAAGGTTGTACACTTTTCAGAAACGCAGCAGAATAGGTTATGCGATTAATAAACATAATGATATATTAAAACAAACAACAATAGATAACTTGTTGAAATATCTAGATGGCAGGAACAGGTAGCCCAGATGCTCATGATGAGATCATGAGTCATTCGAAACTAGACCACCACGGAAAATCTGAAAGCATTGGGCGGCCGTTTCGTCCTAATGTGAGACTCCTCAGCAGCGCGTATTCATGATCCCGCTCGCAGGATTCGAACCCAGGGTTTTCAGTATCGCGCGCGAACGCTTAACCTACTAAACCACTGACCCTGCATCTAATGGTGTTAATATCTAACCTCAAGCAATCCACGAAATTGCGCGACCATCTTCCATTGTACCAACGTAAATACCTGTCTTTATCCTAGACGGATTAGATCCACTAGTCACGACTTCTCACTAGAACTCCAAGAATTCCCTTACGAAGCTAGTCACTAGTGAGCACATGGTAATTATCAGTATAGGTTATCGATAAAATCATTTAATTTTGAGGCAGTATCACAAAGTGACTAAATTTAAAAATGCCTAGCAACGAATTCAGTGAATTGAGCCTACTGTATTTGTTATGAGTACAAAACATTATCCATTTCAAATTGTGTATGTCATATTTGGTAATATGAAAAGTTGATTCATTACAAGATATATTGTCAGATATAGATTTATTTTTTAGCCTAAAGAATGAATAACGAGATTATATAAACAGTTGCTATATTCAGTACATTTCACTGGGTAGCACTAAGAGTTTTTCGTCATGAATTTATCATTAGTTGATCATTTAATTTTTTTAAAAATTTTCTTCCTTTGTTTTTCCATCTTTAGTTATATAACATCTGGTTTATCAGAACATTTGTTAGTTTACACATAGCTTTACTGGATTAGTAAACTGTGGTTTTTTTTATCGAACACGAATATTTTGTATAACTACATGTTAGTATTCACTAATTTCTACATTCTTATTCAATTGTAAATGAGATACACTTATTTAAAGCATAACTATCACATATTTTAAATATGTAAACATCTTTAAGAAATAATAGATTGATGAGTTTCGAATTAAGGAACATATTCAATGGAGCATACAGTGAGAAATATATAACTACACACTGTGACGCCGATTACTCAACATAGTCATGCATATTATCGTGAATAAACATTTGATATTCAAAGTCTATATATTGGTGATCTTTGAATGAATTCTTAGTGTATACCTGTTTTTTCACATAAAGAAACGCTTATACACTATCACTTATACATATTTTTTTCTCTTTGCACCAATGATTACTTAGTAAGATATAGCATTATAACATAATCAACTTGTTACTGTTTTGCTTGTATCTCCCAATTGAGGTTTAACACTACAATTGATCAGTCTGTTATTGGCATATGTGCATAATGTGTGTATGCCTCGATATTGTCTTAATTCACAAGCCTTTACAAGTAAAAATGGATAGTGGCTAGCAGTGGAATCGAAGATGTGCGTTTCGTCCTATGAGACGTCCTCTGAGACGCAGGTACATCGAGCTGACGAGTCCCAAATAGGACGAAACGCGCGTCAAACTGGATTCCACTGCTAGCCACTATCCATCATTGCTTACAAATAGCTTGTGAATTAAGGCAATATCGAGGCATACGCACAGTATGCACATATGCCAATAACAGACTGATCAATTGCAGTGTTAAACCTCAATGGGAAGATACAAGTAAAAGACAATACCAAGTGAATTTAAATTCACCCCATTGCACAAGCAAGTGGCTGTCATGACTCAGTAGCTGAGTGGATAACGTGATGGCGTTTGAAGCGAATGGTACTAGGTTCGAGTCCCAGAGTGTACATCAACTCTGAGATACAGATACATCCGGCTGACAAAATGCGAATAGGACGAAACGCGCGTCCTGGATTCCATCACTGATTATAACATAATAGTTTACCATCATATATAACATTGTAAAGTGTCCACTCACTATATTTTTAGTTTGATAGTATTAACCATAGTTGAAATAGTCAACTTTTACAAGAAGCTTTTATCTAAGAACATGTTTCATACATGGAATGGTTTGTGAATTAGATATCAAAGTAGTTTAGATACCAAATCAATGAGTTTTTACCACTTAGTCAGTAACTAATGTATACTTTTCTCAGCTTCCAATCATTGACAAAGTAGTCAGATATCCTTAATGATGTTATTTTGTCATGAAAAAATATTTGAAAACTATGTAGAATAATATATAGAAAATCATATGATCAAATCATAACTTTTTACTCATCATTTATAAGTCTGATAATGGATTTCCAAATATCCAAGTCAAATTCATGATTGGTAGAATATAACTCTTATCTGGATCAAGACAAGAACTCACCTATTATATTGAAAGGAAATTATGTAATATCTAAACTAACTAGAATTGAAAAATATTGATCAATAGATTTCTACTCAAGTTGTAAAGTTTGTGACGAACTAAAAAATTGTTTGTTCAATTTTATTTGTGAATTCATTGTAGCGAACTGCTTTTTAGTTTCAAATATGAGTGGTACTGTAATTTTTGAAAGTCTATGTCTGTATTACAAAATTTAGTGATACCTTTATTTCGACCAATTTCTTTACTCTTCTAGAGTTAGATTCTCTATGCTCTCTATGCTCAGACTGTTTTAATGTAGTACAGTAACTTGAACAAATGCGCCTGGTGCAAGACTGATAGGTCCTGGGTTCGAATCTCGCGGGGTGCAGGATCGTTGATGCACATTGCTGTGGAGTCCCATACTAGGACGAAACGGCCGTCCAGTGCTTGCAGGTTTTCCATGTTGGTCTAGCTTCAATTGACTCATGATTTCAACGATGAACCTTATCAGACTGAGTCCATACTAGGACGAAACGGCCGTCCAGTGCTTGCAGGTTTTCCATGTTGGTCTAGCTTCAATTGACTCATGATTTCAACTAGTGAAAGATGAAAAGGATTTAGCTACTATAATTATTAAAGATTTAGTTGGAAATATGCAAAACCGATGCTTAATTAATCCACTGATTTACAGGGATTACATGTTTAATTAAAAATCTAGTGTTACATACACGCGTATAAACATGTATCTTGCATAAACATTGACAAAATACCATTCAATGTTCAAATCTATTGTTTTATTATCTTTTTCAGTTGTATTATCATGATGAATCTGTATGTGTATCAATAGTATTGGATAATTTATGTCAATTACCTGTTAGGAAGTTACAAGTAGCAAGTAAATTCATATTTCTTCTTAAACATTACCATTTACAGTTTACTGTTTTTGATGATTTACTTTTTAAAGCAAAACTAAATTATGCATAAAATGTTAATTCGCTTAACTTTGTGTGTGTGTGTATCGTAAGGTTTTTATTTATACGATCAGTTTCAGAAAAAAATGTAATTTGTCTTACTCAGTCATGCACTACTTATACGTAACAGATATAAGTAGTATGTAGCAGAAATTGAAAGTAGAATGCTTATCAGAAGAAGACTGAAATAAAATGAAGAGGAAGAAAAATGAAGAGCAATCAGAATAACAACGAGATCGGAAGAATGATGAAGTTGGTAAAGGACAACTAATAAAAGTTATACGAATAATTTATTTAATGTATGATTTTCATGTTTCATAAGCTCACTGTTTGATTTTACATAAAATGATACAATGGTTTACTGCATCTAAATCTTCGTTCACTACAATATAAACTGAACTGATGCATATAAATAAAATAAGTAAAAAAGATCATGATGTGGGTAGTCACAAGGAAGGTGTTATGAGAATAAACAACGAAGATTGATGAAAGTTATCAAGAGACAACAGAAGTACTGAAGTAGTCATTTTGTTGATAACAGAGATGTAGCAATCCGTTCTGTTTTAATTTACGGCAGCGAAACATGGCCATTACTAGTATTTGACCACAGATGCCTTAGAAATATTCCTTGCATCTTCTGAGATCATCGGGTAAGTAATAGTTAGGTTAAACGCACGGTATTAGGGAATGATCGTAAGTCAATTGATGAAGTCGTGAATCCTTATCGACTGAGATGGTTGGGCCACGTGTTACGTATGCCTGAACACCGATTACCACGACGTGCAATGCTATCCGGTATTGGAAATGGTTGGAAGAAAGTTAGGTGTGGCCAAACCAAGACGTGACATCAGTGCTTGAAGTCACTAACTTCTAGTCTTAGCCATGTTGGTAGATACAGACTACTTGGTTGGTGTCCTTGTGACTATCGTAATCAATGGTTGGAGACTTCTGGTGACATGGCTCAGAATCGATCACAATGGCATCGGTGTATACACTCCCTGTCTTCCCTTAAACTATGAGATTAAAATTGCTTCATATCTTTCTTTCTACGAACCAATTCTTTCTTCTTGTACTGTATCTCTATATGCAATCTTTCTCTTATATATTACCACCTTTGACCTAACCACTGCTATGAATCCGGTGTTCATCTTGTTGTGTTAGTGAGGTATGGCAACTTGTACCAATGCACATATGTACCTGATCATATGTTTTAGCTGACTGACTGACTGATATGGAAAACCCGAAAACTGTCAGGACTTAAGTATTTAAAATGATTGATGTGTAAATTATTCTACTGGAATTAGTTTAACAAATAATTATAATAATCACAAAATAAACTGAATTCCAATCAATGAATGAAGTGATTAAGCTAATCAACATGTAGTGAACAAAGATTTAGGTACGTTAAACCATTGTACCATTGTATCATAAAGTAAATAAATTATTCGTATAACTTTCATTAGTTGTCCTTTACCTATATCATCATTCTTCCGATCTCGTTGTTATTCTGATTGCTCTTCATTTTTCTTCCTCTTCACTTTATTTCAATCTTCTTCTGATAAACATTCTACTTTCAATTCCTGTTACATACTACTTATATCTGTTACGTATAAGTAATGTACACTTTAAGATAAATTCAAAGTGATCATTTATCTTACCAAATATTTTGTTGTTGTTGAAATTATCCATGATTTCATTTGTTGATCAGTTAGATTTTTAAAGAAAAAAATGAACTAAACACATTAGTTCCTTTATGGAAATTGTTTTCAATCTGTAATGAATGAAGATGTAGATACGGTACCAATCAGATGATCAGATGATTTAACTATTAGATTACATTGGATGTTATAAGACTTAAATCTTATTATACGCTTCAAGAAATTCTTTTGAACACTAACTGATTTTAGAATAAAATATATTACTTAAATACAATGTGTCAATTAGTGAATACCATATTTCCCTTCAATTGTGTTTAATTGTATTATATTATCTATCGAACTGGACGGCCGTCCACTGCTTCCAGATTTTCCATGGTAGTCTAGCTTCAACTAACTCATGATCCTAACCATTGAAATTGGATCATTGATAAGAAGTCACATAAATGATAAGCCGTTTTTTGTTGACCTTATTATAAACTGACATGAAAAATCTTTCACTAATCTGATAATTCATTAAATTAAAAAGAAAGAATAAATAATCAAGGAATCTGTTTATAATGGATAGTTTCACCTCAAAGTTAGTATGGTTCATTGATATATAACAAAAATATAGATTAATTTGTGTATTGTTCAATTAATATTGATTATTGGAGAGTGAAAAGCTTGATATACTTTTGATTAGTTAATTGATGAAATGAATATGGTTTATAAATGTTGGTGATTATTATTAGTTATAGATATTATCAGAGGAAACATTGAGGAACCGTTTAGTCTTAGTGTGAAACTCTTTGTAGATATACATGGTATAAAAAGCTAAAATCAGGGCAAAAAGATACACAGACTGGTCGTGGAGCTTTCATCGTTCTTCTGAACGACATCATCAGCACAAACTTCAGATAGACGTACCGGCTTTGCAATAATCACCAAGGTAAAGTTAGCCAATGATGTCAATTGTAAAATGAATAATTTTCATAAATTACCTGTATCATTCATGTTAATCAAACACTTACTGGTAACTGAGAGGCTGAGATCATTTAAGTTTAAACGTATCTGATATAAAATAAATATTACCATCAGTGGATGTTGGTTAGTCAGTTTCATGAACTGGCTGAAATGGAAGATGTGAACCAATGCATAGTGAATAACAGGTGTGAAGGCTAAAAGCTTGACAAAAAGCTTAACCATTCTAGGTAAGTTTTGCTGTTAGATCATAAGTACATAATGCTAAACAAATATCATATTTGGACAAAAACAGCTGTTCACTGTTCCGTATTTTAATTCAACACTTGATTAGTTTGGGTACATCCATTGTATAAGCTAAGAAAATGAAACCGAATTGACTACAACTAAATATCTTAGCCAAAGATATTTTGTAATGAAGTTTGCCGTAGTTGATTTTTTATGTACTAACTGTCAATTCCTCCCAAGGATTACTTCATTTTTTCTTTGAACGGTGGTTATTTGCTTAGCTTATACCTTTTCTACATAAATATTTTTCTTACATTCAGTTGTACAAGTTGCTGAAATTTATGTCTTGACCAAAGGAACGTATCGATCGACAATAGATAAGCATTTCTGCAAGTAAGTAATCTTTTTTAAAAATAAATATCGTTATAGATGTCAGTCAGTCAATCAGTCAGCGACAACGTAGGATCAGGCACATATATGCATCGGTCCAAGTTAGCATACCTCATTAACACAACAAGATAAACACCGGATTCATAGAAATAGTTAATTCAGTGGTGGTAATATATAAAAGAAAGGTTGCATATAAGGACATAGTACAGGAAAAAAGAATTAGTTCGTAGAAAGAAAGATATGAAGCGATTTTAATCTCTTAGTTTAAGGGAAGACAGGGAGTGTATACACCGATGCCATTGTGATCGATTCTGAGCCATGTCACCAAGAGTCTCCAACCATTGGTTACGATAGTCACGCGGACCCCAACCAAGTAGTCTGCATCTACCAACATGGCTCAGACTAGAAGTTAGTGACTTCAAGCACTGATGCCACGTTTTAGTTTGGCCGCCCCTAACTTTCTTCCAACCGTTTCCAACACTAGTCAACATTGCGTGTCGTGGTAATCGGTGTTCAGGTGTACTTAACAAGTGGCTCAACCATTTCAGTCTACGAAGATTTATAACCTCATCAACTGATTTACCATCATTCCCTAATACCGTGAGGCCAACCTCACTATTACTTACCCGATGATCTCAGCAGATGTGAGCAATATTTCTAAGGCATCTGTGGTCAAATACTAGTAATGTAACGATTTTCGGCTTACTGTCAAGCAAAAATTTTTGAAAGATTTGATCAAATTGATTTCATGTGAATAAACATGTTTTGTTATCGATTTCCACTTTTCATAATGAGCTGTTTTTTGTTGTTGGTTCAACTGAAAAGGAAGGTTGTTTTATTTCAAATAATCATTGATTGAACTACGCTACAGTATTGAAATAGTCACGTTTGCGACTTGATAGTTCGTACATGAATTGTTTTGTTGTTTTTTCAAAAGAGAAGATTTTTTGAAAATACTTGAAATAATTTAATTTGATCAGATAGTGTTTGTTTTGTTATTAGGGAGTAGAAATATCATTCAAACTCAGTTACCACGGTAAATAAATAGAAAAAAGAAGTTATGAGTTTGACATTACTTCAATGTGACTGCTCAGGTAAATCATGTTATAAAGATGTACTAGATAAGAAGCGCTATTGTAATTTGCGAATTTACCGACATTGCCCCTGTCAGTGTAAATTATTGTTCATAAATAACGCTGAGATTGTAGACAAAAACTATTTACGAACAGATCTAACATTGTACCAATATACCAAGAAAATGTTTTGATTTTAACATTAACTACAAAATCATTTAAATCAGTATGAGGATTTGTAGTAATCGTTTGGAATCGTGGTTGCGTACTACTGAGGAGTCCTTTACTAAGACGAAACCGACGTCCAGTACATTTAGATTTTAAATAATGATCTATTTTAAAAGGACTCGTGAATTCAACTACATGAAAATCATTGTATATACACAAATCATTCGAAAAGGTCGTACATTTTTTTCAGATTCATTACACTACAATAGAAAATGCATAAATTAAATTGTCTAAACGTTTATTATAAACTAACCCAGTGTAATCGAATATCATCAAATGACAAGAGGCTATTCTATCTTTCAACAAAATTGAAAATAAAGTTTTTAGATGGGGTTTGTGTAAATTTTAGAAATTTCACAGTTTGAATTCCTCAGATGTGGGCATCCAAGATCCCGCTCCCCGCGAGATTCCAACCCAGGACTTATCAGTTAGACATTAACACCGTTGGATACCGGCCGGCTCAGTGGTCTAGTTGGTTAAGCGCATGGAGCGAGACTGATCGGTCCTTGGTTCGAGTCTCGCGGGGTGAGGGATCGTGCATGCGAACTGCTGAGGAGTCCCATAATAGGACGAAACGGCCGTCCAGTGCTTCCAGGTTTTCCATGTTGGTCTAGCTTCAATTGACTCATGATTTCTATCTGTGAAATAAAGTTTTCATTAAAATAATCTACTAGTTACGTAATACAGAAGTAACTGCCATCTTACCATAAAATTTCAGACGATTAAATTTTTCTTCTTAATTCTTGTCATAATTACAGTTTTTTTTTACAATTTTTCTCAATAAACTTGTTTGACAACAATGATTTATTGGTTGATTCTAAAATGAATGTTTCCTTTACTTTTTTGGTGTGAAATTTTAAGATTTATCTATTTTGGTTCATTAAATTACAAGACTACTACAACGAATGTCCGGATGACAAAAAAATAGACATCTATGAGAGTGTATATATAAAAATTTTTTTCGGAAAATAAAGCGTACCTGACTGCCAAAAGATGTTTGTATCTATGACTTATTGTTTTTAAATATTCACCTTATATGATAGGAGTTATATACGACAATAATGTTAAAATACAGAACACTTAGTGAGGAATCATACATTAGTAATGTTATAACTTGTGATCTGTGTGCCCTGTTTATTGTATAAGGTAACAATACCGCCAATTAGAGAACAATGAATTATCTATCGGACCAGTGACGAATAAACCCATGCGAGTAGTCTAGAGTAATTATCAGTCCCGCTTCCTGACTAACCCCACCTGTTAAGTCTAGAACACCAATCCCAGCATCTGCGATAGGAATCATTTATTTCAAACATATTGGGTTTATATACTAATTAAACAGACCACATTGTACCATAAAATAAAAAACAACATTTGTACAAGAATTAGCCAAATGTGGCTGTGATGAGGGAGGTAGTAATTAATAGACAGGGAATAACCCAAGAATGGTGAATCGTATAATAATAGTTCATAGGTCAAAATAAAGTACACGATAAGATGGACATGAATATAAACAGTTTAGTTATTTAACAATTATACAGTACACGAAGTTGCACCACTGAACACCATTGCTTCCGTGAGCTGATATCTCACAACAAGCCTGGTTGAACTCCACTGGTCACGGCTTCTCACTAGAACTCCAGGAGGTCCTCCTGAAGTCAGTCACTAGTGAGCAGTTGATTATTATCAGAATGAGTTTTGTGGAGATTTTAGGAAATTTCACAGGTTGAAATCATGAGTCAATTGAAGCTAGACCACCATGGAAAACCTGGAAGCACTGGACGGTCGTGGATGCGCACTGCTGAGGAGTCCCATACTAGGACGAAACGGCTTACTGTAGTCTTGCTATTGAAAATCTAACATTGAAGATGAGTTATAAACAATAAAAAAATTTTCATTAATTGTTTTAAAACAATTTTTCTTCGAATAACTTATATTTTCAGATTCATATCTAAAATGAAATAGCTTTTGAAATTCACTTGGTATTGTTTACTTGGATCTTCCCATTGATGTTTAGGACTGCAAATGATCAGTCTCTTATTGGCATATATGCATACTGTGCGTATTGCCTCGATATTGCCGTAATTCATAGATATTATAAGCAAAGATGGTTGTTGGCAAGCGGTGGAATCCACGATGAGCGTTTCGTTTGTAAAAGTCAGCTGGATGTACCTACATCTCAGAGTTGGTGTTCACTCTGGGACTCGAAATCAATATCGTTCGCTTTAAACGCTATCGTGTTATCCATTTAGCTACTGAGTTTTGATACCCGCCTGGATGTGAAATAAGGTGAAGTTTAAATTCACTTGGTATTGTTTACTTGAATCTTTCCAAACGCAATGGCGTTTGAAGCGAACGGTATTGGGTCCGAGTCCCACAGTAAATATTAACTCTGAGATGAATGTACATCCAGCTGACAAGTCTGAAAGAGGACGAAACGAGCGTCGTAGATTCCACTGCTAACCACTATCTATCTTTACTTAGAAATAGCTTTTTGTTAACGTTTTGTAGTTTGATGTCTTACTTTTCTAATCGAATTAAATGTTAATCTTTAATTTTGTTCTATAAGTTAATACTTCGTATAGATGAGATTATTTGAGTGTATTCATAAAGGGTACCGTTTCTTTCGGAGAACTTGAGCATTTCATATGGTCAAATATCGAAGTGAATATTGATCAGCTGAAAGAAACTAACTGTTAGTTTCTGTTTTAAATTCATGCAATAAATTGGAAGTGTTTAGATATGAGTGAAATAATATATACTCTGATGAATAGAATATGTATTAACTGTAAAGATGCATCTTATATACAATGTATCACAATAAAATTGTCACTATATTTGGTTCTTTATCACCAGCTATTTCTTGTTTACTGTCTTCAAAGTAACTTCATTGCTTTCTGAATAGTACTTATCACATTCTTTACTGTTATGCCCCGATAAGAATAATGAGTGGTAATTTTTGGGATCCATTTGTGGACCAATACTATATAATTGTTAATTAACTATTCTTATCGATTAAATGATAAATATTTCTATGGCAGTCGATTGACTAACTCATCGATTAACTGTTTAAAAATACTTCCATAGCAATATCGATTATACAGATATAATTGATATATATAGATTTTGTATTGTGTTTGTGGGATCGCTGTGGGCTTGCTGGTTTCTGGCTGTTTGCAGAATATACTTCCCCATTCCAAGCTTGGACTTCTCCCTCTAGTTAGCGGGGCTGGGAAGCATCAGTAGCTAGCCTGCTGGTCTTTGGTCACCGAGTCTTTGTTCTCGTTCACAGATTAAGTGAACTCGTGATAGCTGCAAACCTAGCGTTTACACAATGAGAACTAAGTGAATTCTTTATAGTGGGGATATTTAGTACAAATGTTTACCATTTTCTAGTATAATTTCTACATGGTATTTTCTCGTGTTCATATTGGTTTATGAAATATAATCTTAATTATTTTGGTCAGCACTTTATCTTGCCTCATATTGTTCAATTTGTTTTTATTCATTTGATCATGAGTACTGAAAGCTATAATTTTTTCACATTGATATTCTTATTCAAAATACTTGAAGGAACATCAATGTTATTTTTAAGTAGTTACAAATCAGAAACAATAATTAGTCACATAATTCACTGTTTGTATTGTTTATTTGAATATTTCCATAAATGTTTAGGATTGTAAGTGATCAGTCACTTATGTGTATCTTATGCAGATTGTCTGGATATTGGGTTAAACCATAAACATTAAAAGATACTAATCTGTTGCAGTTCTAAACACCATCAATGGGAAGATTCAAAGAATGAATACAAAAATGAACTAAAAATTCACTTTATTACATAAACTGGTAGCTATCTGAACTCCGAAGCTAAATGGATAATGTGATAGCATTTTAGGCGGATGGTACTGGGTTCGAGTTGTAGAGTGAACGTTAACTCTGAGATGCAGATGTATCCAGCTGACAATTCCCACTGCTAGTCACCATCCACCTCAACTGATAATTAAACATTAATAATAAATAAATAAAGTTATCCATATATCACTATGTAGATTATGGCATTTTTTAAGGTAAAGAAAAAAAAAATCCAGATAGATTTGTCAGTCATTAATCAAGGCACCAGTATATACGAACATATTTTATGCAGAAAGTTTACAACAACAAAAATATTGGATTGAATGTAGATATTTCCAAAATCGTATATATAAATATGATAGCTCAGTAATAAGTTGTTCAATCTGTATTAGGATAGTAATGATAAATCTTCTTTAGTTGTATGTTAGATTTTTATTTTAGCCTGGGATATTCTAACTTATCACGATTACTTTCAACAGTTGAGATCATGAGTCAATTGAAGCTAGACCAACATGGAAAACCTGGAAGCACTGGACGGCCGTTTCGTCCTATTACGGGACTCCTCAGCAGTGCGCATGCACGATCCCACCTCGCGGGATTCGAACCCAGGACCTATCAGTTTCGCGTCAGGCGCTTAACCAACTAGACCACTGAGCCGGCCGGTATCCAACGGTGTTAATATCTAACTTCAACTAATCCACGAAATTGAGCGACACATCCACCATTGTCATCAGTGACGTAATACCTCACAACTGATTAATTATTCCTGGAAAGTATACTTTTCAATACTGACAAAGTTAAAGCTGGTACTACTTGTTTAACATGAATTTACCAAAAGGAAAGAGAATAAATTTTAAGCACTTTTTGTCGATGAATTTATGCAAATACGTATCTTATAATCTAGGTATGAATCATTAGAAACGTTTATGAAAGATAGAAAATATTTATAACTCATAATGAAAACATTGAAGATATTGTGATCACCGAGTTGGATGATTTGATTGTGAAGGTTTCATCATTCTTCTGAACAACATCATCAGTATGTATCTCAAAGAGAAATCAGACTATTCAACTCAAAGACCATAACACTCTTAAAATAGCTAAAATTATGTATATACATACAATGTACTTCAAAATAAGTAATAAAAAAAATCAACAAATTGTGATACTTATAAGCTGTTCAAATTATTTTCCATCATAGGACCTCCTAGAAATAGTGAATTTATCAATTAATTCAAAAAACTTTCTATTTTTAGTCACACAAAAAAAACAGTTAGCTAAATTGTCAATGTCATATCCAGACGAGAATTAATGTGTGGTAACCGTTAGGCATCACTGATGAAGTAATATTATACGTATGTCCTTATTGTATGACTATTAAATGACTATATCATACATGTATTCCTATTCATTTCATTATACGCTTTTATTTGACTTATTGACCATTATCATACGATTGACTATCCTTGAGTTATTCCTAATTTGTTAGTAACAGTTCCTGATAATCACAGCCACTTTTGGCTTGATCTTGTACAAATGTTATTTCCTATTTTATGGTGCTATTTGGATTGATTTATTTATTTATAAACCTAGTATGTCTGAAATATATGATTCGTGTTGCGGAGGCTGAAATTGGTGTTTTGGACTTAAAAAGCAGTGGCTGGACAGAAAAAAGACCAATAAAAACTCTCGGTTGCTCGTATAAATCAGGGTATCTTAATTGGAAATCATATTCCGCAATATCGTATAGCTTAGGACATAATCGTAAATATGGAAAGACAAAAGCAAATTCTAAGTATCAATAACACAAACACAGTCTGGCAATATGACTTTTTGAGTATAATCACTTCTGATACATATGCCTAGTGCATAATATCTTATCCTCAAATTTTCATTCATTCACATCTATGATATTTGTCTCTTTTTTCTTCTATTCTTAAATATTTTCACTTTTTTCCATACAGAGTTAATCTACCTCAAGCTGGAGAACAACAATGGAAATATACAACACTGTTAAATACTAATTTAACAGATAATCTATTAAAACGTGGTGTTGCATTAGATGGTTATATAAGACAAGAGAAAAATTGGTTAGCTTCATCAACAGTATTGAATTTATCTGAAAATTTTAAAGAATGTTTAGAAATGATGCAAAATATTAATAAAAATGTAAATAAGTAAGTAAGAATTATTAACAGAAGGAGAGGTTTATGGAGATTTTAGTAATGTAATAACTGAATTCATAAGCCATTTGAAACTAGACTTGGAAGCAATGGACGACCATTTCGTCCTATTGTGGAACTCCTCAACAGTGTCCATCCACGATCCTGGCCGCGGGATTTGAATCCGGGACTATGGTCAAGTCATGGATCCACATTATTAGGAAGCCCTATACTAAAACAAACCTCTATGTTAAAGATTATAATTGCCATTAACAAACTGTAAAATTAGAAGGGGTAATAAGATAATGATAAAGTAACGGACTTCAACAAACCTCATTCGCATACAGAAATCAGATTTGAATTAGTGTTAAAAGTAAGTTAAGCAATATAAAACTGTTTGCAGGAACAGATGTCTAATAATAATTAGTTAACTAAATGCGCTCTTCAAAAATTGTAAACGTTCTTTTATGTTTAAGTTATTCAGCTTTGATAATCCAATTAATCTTTAAATAAATATTGTTTTTGAGTCAGTCAGTAACAACGTAGAACTTCGTACGTTCTTATATCAGTTCTAATTGCCATACCACATTAGCATGGAGATACGATTGTCAATTGAAATCCCATAATGGTAGAGGTAGTGAGAGTATAAGCACCAATCGAAAAGATTAGAGTTTGAAGATGATATTCAAGGAGTATAATCCAGTGAAATAAATTTGGAAAGAGAAAAAAAAGATACAAGGAGAATTCAGAAGATTAGAATTTGGGAGAACACAAAGAGTAGATGCACCTGTGCCATTGCTAACGATTTTGAGCCATTTCATTCAACGTCTCTAACCATCGGTTGCTTTCATCTCGCCGTCCCCAACCAGGTAGTCTACACCTACCAACATGACTCAGTCCACTTGTCAGTGACTTCATGAACTTGTGCCATGTTTTGGTCTGGCCGCCCCTAGCTTTCTTCCAACCTACTCCTACACCACTGAACATCGCACGTCGAGGCAGTCGGTCGTTGAGTATACGTAACACGTGTTCCAGCCATCTCAACTGATAAAGTTTCACTACTTCATCATTTGATTTGCCATCCTTACCTAGTACCTGTTTCCTAACAACTGCGTTACTTACTCGATAGTTCCAGGATATACGAGCAATATTTCTAAGACACCTATGGTCAAATACTAGTAACCTACTAATATCCTCTACCCTTACCGGCCATGTTTCACTGCCATAAAGTAGGACGGAACGAACTGCTGCGCAGTAAACACGTCCTTTGGTCGGTAGACTGACATCTCTCCTACACCATAAATGACGCACGTTGGCAAAAGCTAGTCGAGCTGAGATTTCGTCACACACCAGACCACAAGGGTTGATGAGACTCCTAAGATAAGTGAAGTGTTCGACACACTCAACTACTTCACTCTGTATCATTAGTTCAAGTGTCAATGCAACCTAATCCTGAAGCAACATTTTGCATTTCAAGGGGGAGAATCGCATCCCGAACATGCTTGCATTATTGCTTATAGTGGTCAGAAGACTCTGCATTTTGTCAGCGCCTTCACCAAATAGAACTATGTCATCGGTATATTCCAACTCAACAAGTGAATCTCCCGGAAGAAGTTCAACCCCTGGAAATTTAGATGGGGAAGGTGTTATCTCTAAAAGCACGTCAACGACAAAGTTAAACAAGAATGAAGAGGAGTGGGCAGCCCTGACAAACACCACTTGAGGTAATCAATTCTGATGACGGTTCGCCATAAGCTCTCACTCGACCAGTTGTGTTTGAGTAGAGAGCCTCTATAAGGTGCTTTGAGTTTGTCAGAATCTCATCAAAATATAAAAACTTCGCTACCAACTATGTGAACTTACAACCTAAAGGTATACAAAAGGTGTTTCTTACGGAGATTACTTAGTTTAAAGATAAATATCGTTAATCTTCGAGGTTATCTAATAACAGCCATTCAAAATCAAGCTTAAAAGTGATGTGTTGTCGCCGATAACAGTGTATTATAGTGAAAAGTATTTTTAATTAATAAGGTGTAAGAATCCTGGTCGGTGACCTATACTCCACGAGAAACAACAGGAGTAATTAAGTAAGCAAGCAATAAATACTGACTAGTAGATGTGAAGCAATAGCTATAAAGTCTGAAGATTCTGGGCACGATTTATGATGAGCTGAGTCGATATGTTTAAAAAGCTACACACTAGAACATAACAGTTGCCTAGTGCTATATAGGTTTGAATTTTTGTTTAGTTCAGTTTATTCTGTAATATGAAATATCTTTATTTACCAAAATTATATCGTCGTTTGTGGCGAGACTATAATATATGAACAAATCAATCACGTATAAGATAACAGGTATCGAATTTTGGTACAAAATCCACTCATCCATTTGGATAAAATAGAGTTTTGGCATTAGAGCTGATATCAGTTCGTGATGAAAACACTAAATCTAATTCCTAACCTTAACCATCAACTTGAAATCGTAATTATAATTCCTCACACAGGTTTATAACCCTCATTTGGTGCTAGTTATTAGGTGGATACTCTTAAAGTCAGTCTAGCATCGCTCAAAAATCATCCATAGTCTCATCGACAACTGTTTAACCTTTACAGTATAAATTGTCTTTTTGGATGCTGGCCCAGTGGTTCAATGGTTAAGCGCTCCCGAGCAAGACTGATAGGTGCTGGGTTCGAATCTCGCGAGTTGAGATCGTGCATGCGCATTGCTGAGTCCCATAGTGGGACGAAACGGCCGTCCAGTGCTTCCAGGTTTTCCATGGTGGTTTAACTTCAAATGACTCATGATTTCAACTATTGAAATTACCCAAATCTCCACAAACCCCTTCTGATAAATTAAATTAATCAATACAAACTTCCTTATTTATAATTAAGCTCATATTATCAAATTACAATAGAAAATAGTTAGAAATGAACATAATAATGGAATAATTACCCAAGATACTTGATAGACGGATGAAGTTGAGTAATTTTTTTCTGGGTAGCGTTTTTTAGCGAGTTAGTTTCCTGCGGGATGGGGTCGCTAACCTAATGCTCAACCCTCCTCCTTTATACGGGGTTAGAATCGGTAGTAGCCCCAGAGGGGCTCCAAGTGGAGTTCGGATGAAGTTGAAAGTATCATGAAATAATCGATCTTTTAAAGCAATCATTTATACAAAAAAAACTTTTTATAATGAAATCAATATATCAGCGATTAAGTAACCATGATAACTATCAATTTGTTTCAAGTGTATTATTATTTCCGAACATAATTGTGTTTTTTTTAAATCAATTAGTGAAGAAAATAATTGGAAGGTTAAAGTAACAGTCAACATTTCTATATACGTATACTGACAGAAATTTATTTATTCACTGTGACAATTATAGGATGACAAATTCCATACATACAAATAATAACGTCTCACTTGATAACTCTTCTCATGCTTTAATGTTCTGTTCATTTTTTTTAGCTCTACAGATCTGGTAATAAAAGCTAATAAGGAACTACATGGAATTGTAATTTCTTATTGTGTTCGTGTTAGATGCTGGATTGGAATCAGGTAAATCACACATTGGTCTTAATAATTCTATCATTATTTATGTTAATCGCTTGCGCTAATTTTGAGGGATTACGGAACCACTTAGGACTGATGAACGGAAAAACAGTCAGCAACACAACAACAAGAAAGCTAAGCTATTCTACTACACTCTAACGCTGATAACTAGAGGGAAAAGACTGAATTCAACCGGGGATATATATATATTCTACAGGCAGTCTGGAAGAACGAACGACAAATACACAACTCAAGAGTACATATATAACACAAAAGTATCCTTGAAAAACGTCACAAAACAGCCTATTAAAAAAAAGCAAAAGAATTAATAATATTTAAGGTCTTTCTAGGTGGCAAGAACAATTTAAAGGTTAAAAAATGAGTGCTTTCGACGCGAATATGGAGAACCCAAATTTCTATAGTAAGATTAAAGACATGAGAAGTTTACTAAGTGATTTCTGGGGATCTAGCATCCCCAACAACTTGATGCATCATAACGTTTGCGAGAAAATGTATTAAACAATCTGATCAGTTAGTAACAAAAATACAAGGTATATTATTAAGAACAGTGGTATTATTGTTTAACTAAAAAACACGGAGAATAAATATATAAAAGTGGTTAGAAGATGAGGTTAGAAATTAACACCACTGGATGCCAATTCAGTGGTCTAGAAGTTAAGCGAGACTGAAGGCTCTGGGTTCGAATCCCGTTGGAGGAATCGCGGATGCACACTACTGAGGAGTAGCACAATTGAACGAACTTGCCGTCCAGCACTTCCACGTTTTCAATGGTGGTCTAACATCAATCAGTTCAATCTCCACAACCCTATTCTGACAAATATAAGTTGTTTATCACTTGTATATTTAATTGAAATATATACCAGAATATTTAATACGAATAGAATCATCGGCATATCAAATGTTATGGTAGTGCTGTCAAATTTTGAAACTGAATCCATAATTTCTTTTATTTTTAGTTTCTAGTTAGTAATTTGTACTTAACGTTGCAGCAGATAAACTAAAATAAATTACCAATTGTAATATTGTTAGTATATAAGGTTTGTGGAGATTGTTTAATTTGTATTTGACATTGCAGATTGAGTGTAGGAAGGCAAATGTTGTTCAATATTGTTCAAAAATCTGAACTATTGAATGAAAGTTAACCCGTTTATTTGAAGGTTAATTGCTCATAATGGAACCTAAAGTTCATAGTTTTAATATCTGGCAGAATTGCCGATGTTCACTGTTGGGGTGTTCTGTATATAGAAGGAACAATTGTTCAACACATCATGATTTTCGCTGGATGTTTAGCTAAAGCAGGCTCTTGATAAAACATATCAACCATGGCCAAGAACTTGATGAATTTAGACAACCAGTGAAAACTTAGAGGTATCAGAAAGCTATTTCGTCACAGAAGGAGACTCCTCAGCAGTCTACATCTGCAAATCTGGAATCGACAATTCAACTTACGATAAATATGTTATCCAACATATTAAATAGGTTTACGACTAATATTTTCTACATCAATGAACTGCTGTTGTAGACAATTTACTGACATAATTTATTCATTAAATACCTGAACAAAAACACATGTGTTTTTGATCATTGTTTTTCCAATCCCTTCTGATAATAATCATCTGCTCACTAGTGACTAACTTCAAGAGACACTCCTGGAGTTCTGGTGAGAAGCCGTGACCAGTGGAGTTCAACCAGGTCTGTTGTGAGATATCAGCTCACTGAAGACAATAGTGTACGGTGGCGCAATTTCGTGGATTGGTTGAAGTTAGACATTAACACCGCGGCTCAGTGGTCTAGTGGTAAAGCGCTCATGTGCGAGAATGATAGGTCTCGGGTTCAAATCTCGCGGGGGGCGGGATCATTGACTCATGATTCAACCATTGAAATTACTAAAATCTCCACAAAACCCTTTCTGATAATAATTGAATATTGAATTATATTGTCATTTCACAAATTATTTATTCCACAAATTCACTTTCATAACAGATTGTCAATTCTACTTCTTCTTTATTCATAATTATCTTTATCTGAAATATTTTGATGGAGTTTTGTTCATTGAGCTAGATGGTTTGTGTTGTGACTTTAGGATCCAGCTACTTATCACGTAATTTATTCGCCAGTCGAAATACGACTTATTCGCTCTTGTACTGCACTAAACCAATGATATTCGACCAGTCTGATCAGCCTAGCGTCCTTATTGGTCCTTTGATCGCCTAGCCCGTCCAGTTGATTCCAGAATATCAATAACAGCTTCCGCCATGCGAATCATTTATTTCAAACATACTTGGTTTATATACTAGCCAAACAGACCACATCGCACCATAAAATAGGAAATAACATTTGCACACAATAAAGCCAAAAATTGTCTGTGAACGTGGGAGACCGTAATCAATAAACTCAGCATAACTTAAGAACAGCAAATAGCATAACAATAAATTATAGATCAAAATGAAGCTTGTAATAAGGAAAATATAGATATACATAATCTAATTGCTGAATAGTTATACCATAAAATTATACAGATAATATTAGTCCATTAATAGGTCTCAGAAGTTATTCGTAATTTAATCTTCGCTAGGATATAACAGTTTGATCGTGGAGCTTACATCGTTCTTCTGAACAACATTATCAGCACAAACTTTAGGTAGAAGCGAAATGTTCAAATTTCTCCACATATGGCTTACAGCTTGCTCTGTAGAACTCGATGTGGATTAGTTCTTGTTGACCTTAAATAATTCATAATGATTAACTCACAATAATGTGGCCTTATATAATTATAGTGATTATTTTGAAAAATAGCAAAATGAATACTTAAAAACAAATTTACTTGAAAGTGTCACCTTATTTTCTTCTCACTGAAACCTAATAGAAAACAGTTTGTTTCATTTTAATATAAATTTAATGAACAATTTTATCTTCAATAAACAACGAGGAATTGTATTTTCATAGTTCGTTTCATGAATTGAGTCGATCTAGACTACCATTGAAAATCTGGAAGCACTGAACGGCCGTTTCATCCTACCTAATGGCATGCATCCACCATCCAGCATGTGGGGCTCGAACACAGGACCTTGGGTCTCGCGTGCGAATGCTTAATCTCTAGACTACTGAGCCGGCATCCAACTGTGTTATTGTATAACTTCAATTAATCAATGGTCGGGTATAATTCTTTATTCCTTATCTGAGGTGGATAAATGTCTTCACGCTACACGAATTGGGCTCTGTTGGTTACGGCTCCTCACTTGAACTCCAGGGAATTCATCTTGAAGCTAGCCACTGGTGAGAACATAATTGTTATCGGTATGGGAATTTGTGGAGATCTTAGTATTTATGAAGTATTAAATTTAGATATTGACACTATTCGGTGCTGTCCTAGTGGTCTAGAGGTTAAATGTTCGCGCGCGAGTCTGAAGGTCCTGGAATTGAGTCTCATGTACGGGATCAGGAGTACACATTTCTAAGGAGTGTCATACTAGGACGAAACAGTCATCCAGTGCCACCAGGTTTTCAATCTTAGTCTAGCTTTAATTGACTAATGGATTCATTTTTTTGTAATTATGATCTGAAAGTATTACGAATGATCACAATTTAACTTAATCAAACAAATTAATACGATTTGGTTCAAGTTATTGTTTCTTTCTCTTTGCCTTGATTAATTCATAATTAAAGTATATGTGTATTTTTCTGTTTAGCTTATACATTCTCATCTCTTTTCTTGTGTACTTCGCTAGCCGATGTTCGTTGTACATTCCATTCTTATTGATGCAACCGGAGAAAGAGTCTGAAGAAGAGGATAATCATGTAAATTGTACAAATAATCATACTCTACATGTGGATATCGTTCAAATTCATGTAAATCCAATAAGTGTATTATTACTTTTTCTTATAAACAGCAACCTGTGAATTAGCAGTAAAGTTCAAAAAACTTCGATTATGATTGGTTGGTTATGAAGTTAGGTTGAAGAAAATTCCTTTACAGACGATTAGCAATATTCTAGAATATTGTGGAATATGGAAGAGAAAGTAACTTGATTTGACTGGCATAGTTACACGAATAATAACCCAAATGCTTTTGGAGATCACGAACCAATATAAGTTGAACAGCTACTGGAAATCTGAAAGCTGTGGATAGTCGCTTCATCTTACTATGACACTCTGTAAACTAGGTCCTACCAAAAGTTAAGTAAATTTAGCAAAATATTACGGTTTAATTAAAACGTCGACTTATGTTTATTGTTTCTTTTAAGTAAAAGTAATGGATTTAAATTATAAATCTCCAATAATGACACTGATTTTTTGATGAGACTATAATTTATGGACAACCTTTGAGCGACGGTAGACTGACTTTGAGAGTGTCTACCTAATAAATAGAACCAAATTAGAGTTATAAACCTGTGTGAGGAATTATAATTATAATTTACAGTTCACGATGATTGTTAGAAATTTAGATGTAGGGTATTCATCACGGACAAACATCTATTTATCCAAATCGATGAGTGAATTTCGCGCCAAAATCCGATACCTGTTATCTTATACGTGATTGTTCCGTCCATAAATTATAGTCTCGCCTATTTGTCAAATGACATTAAATCATTAACTGTTATAAGATAATTAATTAACACTGATTACCACCACCTCAGCAACACGAGATCGTTGTTGCTACCTTGACGTGGTTATCGGGCTTGCCTATCGTGACGAACCAATTGAGCTATGCTGGCTGAAACAATTGTTCCTCAAGGTCCTACCATGCCAGACAGGTCGGCTGAAGAGCAGTAAGACTAAAAGCAACAAATTCAAGGTCCGATGGCGAAGTCGTACTTCTGACTTTACAGAGGTGTGAAGGCAATAAAGTGTTTTTTTTCAGACAACTAACATAACAGCGATGTTGTCTTCCCACAAGGTGTGGGGTTAGAAAAGGTCGATCCTAAAAATGCACACCTCGACTTATCCCATAGATATCCGTCTCCGGCGGTAAGGTCTCAGCAAGTACGGAGGTAACACGAAAATTACCCACAAAAAGGTCGTGTGTGACCGACCACAAGCAGTTGTCCCTTTGGCACTACAGTCACGCTCTCGGGTCTCTAAGATCACCTTAAATCCAATTTCCTTTTCAAGTACCTCCAGAAGACCTCAATAACAATTAGTTAGCTAACGGTTATATTTCTAAAAACAACAAATCTGAGTTATTAATAAAATAACACTTATGGTATTTCATGTTTTGCGTGAGTTGATTAGACCATTAAAAACAGTTAATGACAAACAAAAATACAATACAATCAGTATTTCCATCCATTATAATGTAAACCATAATAAGATTTGTATTTACAAATTATAAATCACGTATACAAAACAGTTGAACTCAGCTGAAATTAACACCTTCAATCAAGAATCATTAGGGATCACACTTTTCATACTGTCAGTTCAATCACTAAATATGATAGAAAGTTTATTCATTTCGTCCAAATTTAACATGATAAATACCCTGACTATTTAAGTAGTAAATAATTTTGTAGAATAAATTGGGTCTATTATAAATGAACCCTATACGTGTAAATAGTATGGATACGGATCATTTAGTGAATGATGACACACAGTCATTTGAGTGATAAATAAACAAAAAAGAAAACTAGTTAAGTAACAACCTATTTTTATCTCAAATCCAACTTATATATCTGAAAAAAAGAGATTTTAGTTCACTTAGGATTGATATGGTGATCGATTTATTTACATTTTCTCTTTTTTTCCTCCTTGTTGTCCAAGTTTTTAGTTGTTTTTTTATTTATTTCAATAGTTGAGGTCATGATTCAACTGAAATTAGACCACCATAGAAAACCTGTCCTATTGTGGGACTCCTCAGCAATGTGTATCCACAGTCCCCCCCGGATTCCGACGCAGGACCTATGGGTCGGCGCGCGCGAGCGCTTAACCACTTGACCACTGAGCTAGCATCCAATGGTGTTCATATATAACCATTGCCTTCAGTGAGTTACTATCTGACAGCAGACCCTGTTGAACTCCACTGGTCACTACTTCTCATTAAAACTCCCGGATATACCTCTTGAAGCCAGTCACTAGTGAGTAGATATTGATTAGTATCAGAAGAGGGTTTTGTGAAGATTGTAGTAATTTAAATAGTTAAGATAATGAATCAACTGAAGCTAGATCACTATTTATTTCATCTATAACCTTTTATAAATGAGTTTTATAAAGAGAATTACTTCATATAAGACTTTATAGCGTGATTTTATCTCATTTATTTAATCCATTCTAATAAAATTTCATTTTATCCAATGATTATTTATTTTTTTCCATGGAAACAAACATCATTTGAAATTGTTTATCTATTGTGTTTGTTTGTTTTATTGGTGGTAAACATTAAATCCATTTCACATTTTGAATACATTTGCTTTCTGTATAAAATGAACAAATTACCTAGTTATTTATTCTCTCAGTAGTATATATACTCTTGAAATGTTTATATTCAACCAAGTATTCTATGGTGATTAAGTTAATTACCAATAAATATTCTCTTTTAGTGGCTCGAAATCTAACTCCAATAATATTATACAAATGATTGTTATTGAAGTATACATATCATCAATCCTCCCTATACTATCATCCGACTTAACTCGCGCTACTGAATAAGTCAAATACGAGAATGGATTTTTGAATGCGTATATTTTGTACACTCATTGATCTAGACAGGAAAATCAGAGGAACGAAACGAGGAGAAGAGAGTGAAGCAAAATGATGCGCATGTGAGCCAATTCCATTTAATCAAGCGTTAATCAATATAGGTTACAGATATATGGTGAATAAGATAAGAAGTGTACACACATACGCTTACATAAAAACAGTCAAGGTTGATAAGTGAATAATGAACAAGATCAAAATGTGACTCAAGTAGAATGAATACATTGGTCTTTCCGAAAGCTAAAATAAGGTATATGGGCTTAACATAATAATCAACACTACACTGAGAACTAAGGAGAACAAAGTCAATCTCTTTTTATTATTAATACTTGAATTCATGAGTTCATTTAAGCTAGATCACCATTGATAACCTGGAAGCACTGAACAGCTTTTTCGTCCTAGTATGAGACCTCTTAGCAATGCGCATTCATGGTTCCACATGTGACACTTGGATTTTGCGCGCGTAAAACGCTTAACCTCTGGACCTCTCATTATACAACTCATATATATTCCTAACAGTTATTGAGATCTATCTAAAAATCCGAGATCGAGTACAGGATCATTCAATTACCTCTTCAAATAAATATAAATACCACTCATTTTTTTTACTCGCTACGTAGATGATTTCAGTTGAAAGTGAAATAATCTAATAGATTATATTGTTACCATTCATCGAACACTAGCTTATGACAGATTTCAGAGTTGAAACATCCGTAGATTTGATGGTTGTGGTTTCGTAGATGTTCTTCACTTCAGAGAATTTTAAAATGGAAAAGATAATGGAACAGCTTGCAGACCTCTATATTTACTTTTATGATAAGAAGTGATACACATATTTAGTTATTCTACTGAATACTACGGCCAACGAGTAGAAGAATAATGGATATTCTTATGTTTAAATTAACCACTGTATTAAATGGATTAATTTATTAAACTGATTATAAGCTTTCTCAATAAATTATCCAGAAAAACGGTATCTAATTTACCTATCTTTGGATCAAATATTATTTTTCATCCGATCGAAACGCAATAAACAACGTACAAAAAAAAACATGTACTTTAGTCTTTTATATTTAAAGCTGTTGACTAACAATGACGCATCATCACTATACAAGCATTCAGTAAGTCATGTAGATTAAGCAAAGATGGATAGCGGCTAGCAGTGGAATCCAGGATGCGCGTTTCATCCTATTCGGGACTCATAGTATGCACATATGCTAATAAGAGAGAGACTGATTAATTGCAGTACTAAACATCAATGAGAAGATTCAAGTAAAGCAATACCAAGTGAACTACTTAGATTGTTTTAAAAGTTTGTTCAGTTAAGTATTTAAATGATTCTAATTCTCATAGAATTCTAACAAGTCAGACTTTTTAAACCGTTGAATTCATTCTTCAATGTAAACTAGACCACCATGGAAAACCTGAAAACACTGAATAATCTTTTCATCCTAGTACTGGACTGTAGAGTAGTACACATCCATAATCTTACACTTGAAACTCGAACCTAAAATCTTTAGTCTCATATGTAAACATTTAATCTCTAAACCATTATTAAAACCAATAATCTAGTTTAGATTGACTCATGAATTCATTTGTTAAAATTATTATCATCTCCACAAATTCTCATTCTAATAAATTAAACTTTATATATTCACAAGGATTGGTATAGATGTTGTAACGTGTGTGACTGCAGGTTTTTGATAGGCAGCGTTTTATTGATCGATTACAGTGGACAGTGACACGTAAACACGTAAGGACGACCTAGTGCCCTGATTGGTTCCGCCTCCCTGTCTAGCCCAGCCAATTGAGTCAAGAACGCAAGCCACAGCCTCTGAGATATGAATCATTATATTTCAAACATACTTTGTTTATATACCAATCAAGCATACCACATCGTACCATAAAAATAGAAAACAACATTTTGTACAATATTCAACGAGTGAACAGATATCGACCAATAGGAAATGTCCATTTAAAGTCCAAGGACACCATTGGACTTAACATGATAATTATTGGTCTATTTTTTCGACTACCTAACAATAGATTATCGCACAAAGTATAACATAAAACAGTTTAGAAGTCGACTGAACCTTTCTATATTGTTCCTGTAGATTTTACATTCCATTATATGATCAACTATAAAGTTTTGTCGTGTATTATCTTCAGTTCAATCGTATATAATTTTATTGATTTATTTATTATATTCAATGAATTATTTAATGTTTCATTACTTATTTTAGCCTCCAGAATTAAAAGTGAATAATAATGAATTAGTGGAAGCATCAAATGACAACAATAAAGAGTATAGTGTATAATGAAGAATTGAATAATTGAATATATATATGACTTCATAAATATTCATTGATGTATTTGTAAACAGTTTGTCAATTGGATTGGTCTGTGTTAACTTTGTGTTTTGTTTTGTTTTGGTTATTCTATTCTTTTTAAAAGGATAATACTGTTGTGTTTTTGTTTTCTGTTTTATTATTATTATTATTATTATTATTATTATTATTATATTGATGATATTTCATGCTAACACAATGTTTCTAGTCAGTTCATGAACTGGATCACAACTACTGATGTTCTATATATACATACGGTGATCACTTTCAGCTATTATTCGTATTCAATAAATGTATAATAAATGAATTGTATTGTATTTTATACTTATTACATCTATAGAATAGATTGAATGTTTATTTTCATTTGTATAATGAAATCTTGCGTAGTGGTTGGTTTGCAATATAAACCTTAAATTTTGTATACTGTTCGTCCTGATAACTGTCACTATAAAACGAATGCTTACTTACTTACTTAGGCCTGTTACTCCTGATGGAGCATAGGCCGCCAACTAGTATTCTCTAATCCACTCTGTCCTGGGACTTCTTTTCTAGTTCCATCCAATTCTTGTTCATTTTTCTCATGTCTATCTCCATTTCTCGGCGTAATGTGTTCTTTGGTCTTCCTCTTTTCCTTTGACCTTCAGGATTCCATGTGAGGGCTTGTCTTGTGACGCAGTTGGTTGCTTTACTCAATGTATGTCCTGTCTACTTCCAGCGCTTCTTCATGATTTCTTCCTCCGTTGGTATGTGGTAGATTTTTGTTAATAATGTCCGGTCAACGGATCCGAAGGACTTTGCGTAGACAACTAATAATAAATAGATAAATATTAGTAGCTTAAATGATTCGATGATTCATACATTTCACTATATATATATGCATTTTAGTCTTGTTCGTTCACTCACTTTTCGGCACTACTCTTTCATGTTTACTTAACGCACCTGTAATTTCGATGATCTGTGCGTGGTACAATAAAAAACGTAATCAACACTTCATATTTACCTTCTGATTAATATACCGTTGAGGCATTCGTTCTGGCTAACGCAAGCTAAAGATTTTATGTAGATTTATTTCAAGTTAGCTTATTTAAACGAGCAGCATAGTTTTTTTATTTTCTATCCTAGTCATAATCAGTCGCAAGCCAACAAGATGCTCGACAAGCCAGTGATTTGATTTTTCTTCTGCTTCTATATGGGTACCTAATTGCTGTGGAAATAATTATCCTGTAACTAAGGCACAAAAATCTCAAGATTTACTAAAATACCCGTTCTACCTTGTGAAACTCAGGAAACCTACGTTTGCATTGACGATTCTGACGTTTTTTCACTATACTCATGACGCTTCTAAACTAACGAAGAGTATCTTTTACATTTTATATTCTGTCGTCATGCAACAGATGAACAAGCGGACAGTCTCTATCAACTGATGATCTTCTGAACTGTAAAATACTTCTTATTCTATCCTCGTGTTGTTTTTTTAGTACAAACTACTAGAAATTATGTCCAAAAGTGAAAACAGTAGTTGGTAAAAGTTAATAATAAACCTGGAACAAAACTAAAGAGCCCAAACCTATGGTCTTAGTGTTGAGACAGTCGCGAGTGACACTGCTTAAACAGATGGGATTCGGTTATCCAACCAGGTCTAAACCTCTTGAAATCTACACTGTAATCCAGGAAGTTGATGGAATTGACACTTCAGTGGATATATGACAACATCACGAAGATGTCTAAGTAAATCTGTAGCGTGGCGTCGAGTTGAGATTAACTGTGAACACCGCTACCAAGAAACACGTGCCAGACAAATCAGAAGGCGTAAGAAGCTCGTTCCAAATGACTCCATAAAATCCCCGAGAAGCCGAATACCAGAAGGCAATTAATGGACCAAGTCGATGTTTATTAGCTGGCGATCTCGTGGCATCGAAAGGATACCGAGATCGTGCCAGGATACAAGCTTGGTTACAGAACGTAACCGAATTCGCGCGAAGTTACAATCAAAGTGTAAGCGAAAGAATGGAAGCAGAAAATAGCTGTCATTAGCACAGTCAAACAAAAGCACATTAAAACAAACACTGGTACAGTTGGTTGTAATAATAATTGTTTTTATTAAACCAGTCGTGTTCTCGTGATAAACGTGAGTCACTACAGGAGCCCCCCGCTAGAAAGGGTTTACACTTTCGATAAATAGCGGTTTGAATCGTGGGACTGATCGGCTGATGAGCGATTGTAGGACGGAAGAATTGGCGAACAGGAAAGCGATCGTTGATCGTCGAGTTGCCAACGAAGGTCGTTATCGGAGAACGGTACCAGGAGCGATGTGTTGTATTTGTTGCTTGAGTTGGCATGCTACACCAGAGTGGTTTGTATCCAGAATCTGAAGAGGGCGTTCGTAGAGGTGCGCACCAGAAACGCTGCAGACGTAGGACGAAACCACGTTGAGCCAAAAGACCAGAATCGACCATAACGACCAAGTTCGAGACCAAGCATATGCCAAGCATTCGAAAACAATATATCGACTGAGTACGTTGACAAGAGCGTGGGTGGCCAATCCAGCTTTCGCCAAAGTTGACTGAAGTCGACGGAACCAAACGGAGATGGTCGAAGGCGTGGGCTCAGGAAACAAAAAGAAAATCAAAAAAAGAAGAGTGTAGCATACGTGTAGTATAGGAATAATCCTACACCGTATCGGTTGTTGACTGTGCGACTAGTCGCGGAAGCGTACGGGTAACCGTACTCGGCGACCGGAACGTGAGACGGCAGTCTCGTTCGTATTTCGTGAGCCTGCAATCTCATCCGAGGTCAGAGGCGGCGTGGTCTGCTGATCTGGACGTGAGACTGTCGTCTCGTCCGTAGACGGTGCAGATGACGCGTGCTGTTGACCGGGACGTGAGAATGAGGTCTCAGATGTATCTAGCGTGGGACCTGAAGAAGATTTAAGGATCCCGCTAGGTTTGATAGGTCTAGCATTGAATCTCAGGGTGTCAGATAGGGCACTGTCATCGACGTGTGCTGGTTTGAGACGATCAATGCTGACGATCTCGACGCGGCCGTGTCGATCAACCTTGAAGGTCTTTTCGTGACGAGCGATCACGTGAAAAGGGCCTTCGTAAGGTTGTTGCCAAGGTTTGCGTACCGAATCTACTTGTACAAAAACATGTGAACAGGTAGATAACTCTCGAGGGAGAGCGACCTGTCGATGTTGTATTCGAGTTGACACCGGAGGCAGAGTTCGCATTAATGCAGACAGTCGATGGACGTAGTCTGATTTACCGAAATTAGGTCTGCTCCGTGGTGTGAAGAATTCTCCGGGCAGACGCAATGTCGTGCCGTATACAAGTTCAGTGGCGGAACATTGGTTATCTGCCTTTAAGCTCGTTCTCGCCCCTAAAAGAACGAGCGGTATGGTTTCGTGCCAGTTGCCGTTTTCGTGTGCTCGTAGAACACTTTTAAGTTGGCAGTGAAACCGTTCAACTTAACCATTTGGTGCTGGGTGGTAGACGGATATGCTTATGCGTATGCATTCCGTACCAAGCAGCCGGGTCAGCGAGGAGAATCGTTAATAGGGTAACATTTCTCGAATAAAGCGTGGAATTCATCATCACGCGAATAAAAAGTGACAAGGATTCGGTACACATACGTGTGAGTCTATTATATTAATACTATTCTTATCGTTATCCGTCATGTCGCGTATATTATATATTAAAAATATGAAAATATACGACAGACGTGGATAGATAAATCATAGACTCACCGAATTGGCTTCTTTGGAAGATTTGATCAGAAGTTGAGGCGTGTTCCAAAATACGGCTCACCAATTGTAGCGTGGCGTCGAGTTGAGATTAACTATGAACACCGCTACCAAGAAACACGTGCCAGACAAATCAGAAGGCGTAAGAAGCTCGTTCCAAATGACTCCATAAAATCCCCGAGAAGCCGAATACCAGAAGGCAATTAATGGACCAAGTCGATGTTTATTTGCTGGCGATCTCGTGGCATCGAAAGGATACCGAGATCGTGCCAGGATACAAGCTTGGTTACAGAACGTAACCGAATTCGCGCGAAGTTACAATCAAAGTGTAAGCGAAAGAATGGAAGCAGAAAATAGCTGTCATTAGCACAGTCAAACAAAAGCACATTAAAACAAACACTGGTACAGTTGGTTGTAATAATAATTGTTTTTATTAAACCAGTCGTGTTCTCGTGATAAACGTGAGTCACTACAAATCTAAATGGTGTTCATTATGTAACTCAGTGTTCCCAGCATGAACTACAGTGTCATTTTAATATGCTCCGACAACATCAAGACCTGTTAGAATCTAATTTATGACCTCCTGGGGTATTGCAGACGAAATACATAATTCAAACCATAAGAATTTGTAACTGAATAGCCCAAGTAGTAATTAGTTCATCAGAGATTTCATGCAGTGGAATTCGCAAGCATGTACCTTTCAGGTCTGCTTTATGTGGAGAATTTGACCTTTATAATATAAATAGTAACTTTTCAATCTTTTTATGTGTACAAGTTAGCTGACATAGCTACGTATTAAGCGTTTAGTGGTACAACATTTGGCTTTGTGTAGAGAATTTAAATTTTATCGACCAGATCTGCCGTCGTCTCTGAGCCTTAAGGAAGTAGACTAATCAAAAAGTTACCAGCCATTTCAACAGTTTTATTTCTGCTATCCTCACTTATTCAACATAGCATGATGAGGCAAATACATTCGTGTGTAGTAACTAAGCCCTGAACCCCGAAAGTCCGACCTCAAACCTTGATTAGACGTCCGCAGATTTGCATGTCTGTATCTTTCCCAAACTCCTTAATCAATTTCTGGTCAAGTGGTATTTACTGGCAACCTTTGTATGTATCACTGACATGGTTGAAGATTGGGTGGAAAGTTCATAATAAATATATATTCTTGCGATGTCCTGATGAGCAGAAAACCGTATTTCCGCCCCACTTTAATGTCCTAATAGATTCAAAGTCATTCATATACAACAATTTGTCAGAAGAATGGGAATCAGCAGGCTCATACTTATATATGTATATATTCTTTAACATTTCCATAGGATCATTGATTAATAGGTCTTACGATCCTTCTGTTACACTTTTTACAATATGCTGATCATAAATTAACCCAAAGCACCAGTTTCTGATGGTGTAAGTA